CAATTAGATTTGTATAAACTACATAAGTTAGTTTTACAACAATATCATCAATATATATATGAAACCTGCGAGGTGGTAGAGAAAATTACAAAAAAATTATCAACGTGCGAAAAAAATTATTTTTTTTAAAGAATAATGAAAGAAAAAGTAGGAATTTATTTCCTTCTTTTAAGAAAAAGTTAAAGGAAATTTTGTTGAATGCAGCTAGTGAATTTGGATATTTAGAAAAAAAAATTTAAATGAAAGAAAGGCAAATCGAAAAAAATTCGATGCATGTATAATAAGTTATACAAGGAGTTCAGTATATTCAAGCGGAATAATCCAAATTTTAATGAAAATTTGGATATTAAAGAATATCCCCTGGTTGTAGTAGAAAAAATAGAATCACGTGATAAAAATTTAAATAAAATCGATTCTGTTTTTTCGAATTATCATATATCGAGTTTTAAAATAATTAAAGGTATATACTAAAACTTAATACAGTATTAATATTTATTTGATAAAAATTAATTCTAATATATTAAATTTATTTTATATAGGAAATTATCATTGCGTCGATAATGATAATAAAACTTTATTTAGGCAGATAGTGCAGTTCAATCTTATTGGACTCATATTCATAATAATCAAATTCATGCTCCTCCAAAATTTAAAGGGTTTAATTATAAACCTTCAGGTATATTATCAAAAAAAGTATTAATGTTGTTAATTTTGTAATATATGTTTAAGTATTTAATTAATTTACTACTTTTATTATTTAATTAGCAACATCATCAGTAACAATAACACCATTATCATCGTCATTAGCAGCAGTAGCAGTACCAATATCTGCAGTACCATCATCATCAGCAGCAGCGCCATCATCATCAGTAGCAACAACAACACCATTATCATTATCATCATCATCAGCAGGAACGCCAATATTAGCAGCAGCATCATCATTATCAGCAGCAACACCAATATCAGCAGCAGCATCATTATTATTAGCAGCAGCGCCAATATCAGCAGTAGCGTCATCATCATCAGCAGCAACGCTATCATCATCAGCAGCAGCATCATCATCGGAAACCACACAACTATTTACGCAACATTTCGGCATTTACAGAAACAATAATAAGTTGGTATATCAATCCTTGGATTATATCTGTAAAAATAAGAATGGCTATATTGAGGATCATTTATGGTAAGTAATTAATTTTTATTATTGTTTATTATTATTTTAAATACTTTTGTTTTTAATATATATATTTCAATAAT